CAAGCCAGACACATTTCTTTAAAATATGCATTTATACTCAAGTAACCAGCCGATACCGAAAGGAAGTTTTCCTTCATGGACAATACCAGTTTCACAACCATCTGCTTGATCTGGGGAAATGCATGCCAGTCAAGAGTGGGGCTGTGTCCTCATACTTTCTTTACAAACCGTATACATCTGGTATGAAGGACAGGGGACAACAAGAACAAGGAGATGGAATCTATATTATTAAGAGTGAATACACTGTTACATTTCACAAAAACACAGTTAAATGACTTTCCCCCATTCTTCTCTCCTTCTTGTTATTTTGCTTTTTGATTGTTCAGTTGTATCAAGTTTGAATTTTACTAGAACTATAAGCTTGTGTAATCACTGGACTAATCTTATGAGTGATTTTCCCTGTCATATTGGCAGGATTCCAGAAAAAGCATTACAGTAAACATTATGGGTTTAGTTTATCTTTTTTTTTTTTTTTCTTGCAAACTTACACACAAAGCTAGACTTCATATAACACAAAGCTATAAGGTTCCAAACATCTGAGAATTTCCTGTTAATGCAATTGCTAAAGAATTATAGATTGATCTAACACTATCAACTATTGGTGATATAATACAATTGCTAATACTACTAACCATACTGAGTAGAAGTAACTTTCATTTGCCAAGGAATGGGAGAAATCAGATTAACAGTAATACTAAAGTATAATAGAGCACGGTATTTTGATACTAGAAGGAGATAAAGATGATACCCTTACGGTTTCACAAATAATCTGATGACATTGCTAAAACATAAAAAGCATAGTGGATTAAAATCTTACCTCTGGAAAAAGAACAAGGAGATTACTGAATAATAGAAATATTTCCATAAAGTTAGAAAACAATAATTTTACAGACATACAGAACTCACTGAATTTAAACCAGTAATTTCATAGAATCAAGAATGTCCACGAGAGATGCATGTAAAAGGTGCTAGCCTTTTACAAATACAGGCTAACTGAATGGTAAAATACTAAGGAAACAAGAACAGAGCAATATGGCAGACAAACAAAAAGAGACTATTGAACCAGAGTGTTGATCTCAGTACACCAGTGGTTTTCACACAGGAAGAAAAATATTACAGGCACCATGGAAGGAATAGCTATATAGAGATCATTTAAAGAATTCAGCTCTGTACACATTTGTGGAGAACTCATTGCCATCATAAAGGTTGGTCTGGGAGAAAAAAATCTCAAGAAGCAACTTCATGCTACCAGAAAAGGTATATTTTCAAAAGTAGTGACTTATAATTGGTAAGGTAGGGGTAAATATTTTCAAGCAGAAGAAAAGCTGATGCTTAACAGACAGATAGAACGGAGTAGCAATGTTCCAATTAAAGGCGAGTATGAAAATTCAAATTTGCCAGCATTATCATTACGTGCATTCTTCAATATATTTTTATTTATTTATTTTAATTATTTTCTGGAACTCTCTGCATACCGCAAACACGAACCAGAATATTCTCATATTTCTCTATATAAATGCATGGGCTAAATATCAATTAATACATACATTTCTAAAATCAATTACAATAGACACGTAAACAAAGTAATAGGTCACTAAGTATTAGATTGGCAAAAATAGCCACTGAAAATCTGTATTTCTCCATGTACAGAATAGTTGATGGTTGTGCTAACTTCTGCTGTACTTCTTCTGCCTACATGTCTTAACACTTATCTGGTTGCATCAACATGACTTTATTTCCATTCCTACCTTCTGAACATATTCCTAAAAGCTAAGCGTATGCCAGTTCTACTTAGAGATAACATGTGCATAAAAATAACTTCTGCCATATGAATATCCATCATTCAGAACCTAGAGTGATCACCACTACCTTTAAAAAATGTAGAGAGAAATAAAGGGAAAAAAATGAATGACATTTCATAATTCTTTATATGAAATTAAAAGGATAATTTAAAAAGAAAAAGGCAAGCTTCTGGTTATCGGATAGTTCAAGTAATCATTTAACACAGAACATTCTTACACATACAATCATTTAAGATACATATTTCCAAAAATATATTTTATCTATAGTGCTATCTATATATGAAAATATAGCAACTGAACTCCTGAAATCCTTAGTGTCCTAGCTTCCACTGACTTTGAATTTGCAAGAAATTAAGTGTTGGGAATCAGGTTAATAGCTCAAAGTCATAACCAACAGAGATTCAGCATCATAACCTCCTTAAACCAATATATTGTCCCAGAAGAAGCAATCACTGGCTGAAGCTAAGAAAAAGTTCTTTATTTACTTCACTCGCAAGTCCTAATTTTCCTTGATCCAAACTGAATCCTGCTTTACAGTTAAAAAAATACACAAGCCTACTGAGGTTTTACTGACCCAATAGGCTCTAAAAATACCCCTGATGATTCCTTGGCATTTGGTCTTACTTGTGACCTTTATTTTCTAGGAACGATTATTATTACCTCCCTGCACTGTACATTTCCCTACAGGATATCACCAACCTTATGTCAGTCTTGCTCAGGGGGTTCTCATATACAGCTTGAACAATTCTTCACATACTTCTAGTTTTCACTGAAAATTATGTACTATTTACTTTTATATTCATTCCTAGTTTATTTCAATTAAATGTAGAGTTCTAACATGCAGTTAAGCACACTAACATAAAATACAGAGACTTGCTGGTATCAATAATTTAAGAGTGCTTAATTTTTATAAAATCACACATATTCGGGCAAATTTGTGATTCAAGGCAGTAAAATATAATATTTTTAAAGACCTTTCCAGCCTTGCAACTAATTATTTTGCTATATAGCATTTTGTGTGATGTTCCCGTGATAATACACTTGACAGTGAACCTTTGATCCTCAATCCTCCCATGCACTTAGCTCATTAATTCATCTTCAGAGTCTATACTTCTGTCTCATAAGCCACTGCAGAGCCTCATTGTTTACTTTATTTCAGTAACCCTCACCCTCTGTTCCATCATGTGGGAAATACTCATTTATGAACATCTAAGTTTTGATATCATATAATTTTAGAGAGTTGGAAAAATGAAGCTGGGGGGAAGACAGGTAGGAGTTTAAAAAAGATAAAAAGTAAAAACAGAGGAAAAAAAGAGTTATCAGTTTCAAGTAATATATATCAAGGATCTGGAATCAGATTGAACAGGGATTCCTGACACAAGTGATGCTAATAGAATAAATATCTACATTAGAGAGTCAGTCGTGACTCTTTTATTCTATATCTAATTTTTATTCTAATAATTAATTCTAACTATTCTAATTCTCCTTTTCAGAGAAAGAAGGACCAAATATCAAACCAGTCAATTCTTTATCCATCACATTTTTATACTTACCAGATTTAGAAATTCATTTAGAATTTCTATCATTCTTTTAATATCATGTATTCAACAAGTTAATACTAACCAATGTGAATTTATTTAATTTTAGCTCATCACCATCTCTGAAAGTCTCTGATAGTACTGTATCAACACACCAAAAACTGTTAAAATGTCTCTAGCAGTCTCCAAAATTCAACATTCACCACTGTCCATTAATTTCTAGTACTGTTAGTAGAGAGCAGATTAATATTTTACTATAAGGCTTATTAAAAAAGCTTTTCTTCAGTAAAATGATTTCCTATATATTTTAAAAATAACAAAACGAAAAAAAAATCTTTATAAGAAAGCAATGATTTTCTCTGAAAACTGAAAACAAATTTTCCTTTGGCAGGGGGTGGGAGTAATTGAAAAAAAAAATAAATAAATTATAGTATCAATATTTCTATTTTTGCCTGTTTTTTACCTGGAAAGCTTTTGTGGAAACCTGTATGGTCATGAAACTCACAACCCATTTTTTTTCCTCACTTAATAGCAAACTAACAATGTAGGTAAAAGCTCAGAAACTTCCTCTAATACAAGGAAAAACATCATTAGGACTGATTCTTCACTACCACAAGGTTTCAAAATCCATTTAATTACTTGAAAGCAATGTAAAATGCCTATTCCAATGCTGGTATCAATCACAATACAATTTTCACAATTAGGACTTGTACAGAGATGCAAAGAAGTGAAACATCAGACCCACAGTACTGAAAGATCTTCTATATCCTAAATTTCTCCCATGATTCAGTATCCCCCTGTACAAATACAAAATGCAAGATTGTACTCACATCAACATGCTTGCTGCCCCTCATCTCCTGAACTGTATACAGATTTTTCTGAATATTACTCAATACTTGTTTTCTAGATGTTTTATTAAATAACTCTTTACTAAATAGAATATAAAATCTATTGCAGATAGATTACAATCTATTACAAAATTTGACTATGCATAATGTTGTTTGCTATGATTCAGCTAGTTCACATAATTATCAGAATACATTCAGAAACTTTGCTGCCATGCCCTTTCTGCTACAGAGACACCTGAGCTACTACAATCCTCATATACTATGTTTAGAAATATATTTCTGATATCAACATAATAACAAGAAAGGAAGCTGTAACATTTTAAAATTCATTCTCTGTCGCTAAAGCTTTTCCCTTTCTAGCTAAGAGTTAAACAGCATCCATCCTTGGTTTCATTTAATTGCTTTATGAAGATGCGAAAGTCATAAAGAAGATATCATGAAAGTTTTCCAAATAATTTCTTCAATATTGCTGAACTGATAGCCAGACCTAGCATATGCTTTAACCACAAACAAAGGTGACTGCAAGATTGACATAGATACCAAAACAAATTCTTCCCTGTAGTTTACTTCTGCTACCAATGGAGAGCCTACAGTTATCAATTTAACAGTCAGTTTGAGATCTGTACAAGAAACTGATCACCAATCACCCTTTTAAATGTTTGTTTGTTTGTTAATACAGTCATATGTGTTTATATAAAGAGGTACAGATGAAGCAGCCAAGAATGAAGTTTGGAAAAAAGGTAGCAGCAGACTTAAGCAGACATGCAACATTAATGAATGTGAAAAGGAAGGAAAGTGATTTTTCAGTTTACCTGTCCTCAGTAATTCATGGTACAATTAATTATCTTCCATGCCAAAATGTATTTCATTCAGTTTCTCAAATGGCATGCCGTATCTTAGGATATTTCCATATTAATAATCTCCATTGCACATTCCTTTTTTCTGGCAACCTGTGTGTGTTGGGAAAAAAATAACATTTTATGGTGCATTGTGTCTCATGCTGATACAGCACCAGATTTTATCACATTATTTATAGTATACATACGTAAAAATATCATGACTTAATAATGAAATAGAAACACCACTGAAGTATTGGTTCTTAATATTTCTTAGGCAGATCATCTGAAATATATGATTTATAAACATAGAGAAAGAGAATTAATTTTGTTTTAACTAGAGGTTAAATTTGTTCAACTAGAATTATTCTTTTCTTCCAACTTCATCAAAAATAATAGTAATAATAATGAAGTACTTGTTCACCACAGCATGAGCAAGCTAGAGTACACTACTACCTACTGTAGTACTACCTACAGTAGCACTACCTACTGTAGCACCAGTTCCAGACCTCAGAAAAAAATATTTATCAATTTCTGAGCTGTATACATTGATATGTTGGATATTTTTTCCTACCACCCTCCCTTTTATGTGCCTGTAGGACAAATCTTTTCATCAGTCTGCTTCCAATGTGGTTTTATAGATATGTGAGAACTGTTAATGGCTACTTAAATATTTTATTCATCTGAAACTACTTCCTGTCATTGCACTGCAGAACAACAAAATTCTAAGGAAGGCATATACAATGTAAAGCTATGTTAATTTTGTGCATTTGTCCAAATATTTCTACCTGACAATGTAATTTTCCTTTTGAAGTAAAAACAAAACAAAACAAAACATTTGGTACTAAATGAAAAGGTAATTAGTTAACCAACAGATCACAGATATATGGTATCTGATAAGTTAATGTGAAAACCCAAATCTTTACATAAAAAACGACAATTGGATTTGAATTCCAGGAGGCTTATTTCTTCTCTGTTTGAATGAAACGTCTGAAGGAAAACTCGAGAGAGAACAATATGGTAGCTTTACAATTACCTTAAAAGTAATAAAAATTTGAGATATTATAATACTGCAGTTTCCCTTTGAAATTTCAGAATTACAACAGCACACATCACTAACCTCTGTACATCATATTTCATCGGTTATATATAATCCTTCTGAAAATGATGTGTCTAGATAATATACAGTACATTTTGACACAAGTCATGTTTACTCAATGGTGATTTAGTATCCCAAGCATAGATTATGACCTGCTTTTATTAACTTAGTATGATCCACTGGATTTATTAATCATCTCTAATAAAATTACTAGGTTCTTGCCTCTGCTGACTCCTTTCTATGTAGAGAATAAAAATAGCCTCAGGATCTAGAAAAGCAATTAAATATTTAAAACTGGAGTGATATAATGGTTTCATACCATCAGAAAAATTCCACTTGGGCACTGATATTAAAAATAAATACATTCTTCATCAAATGTGTAGAATATAAACATAGAACTATATTCAATATTAAAGAAAAAATAAATTGGGAATGGAACATAAATGTAAAAAGATAAAAAGATCTATTATTTAAAGTGAGGGAAAAAAAACTTTATCCATATGCCTACACCACTGATACATTATTCACCTTCCATAAGAAATGAGAATAATCAGGGGACAAAAATAGAAAAACGATACAAAGAGGCATCAAACAGTCACAGTTTAACTTACTAGTATATACAGAAAAGCTACAAAGATTATGGTTTTGTTCTTTATTAACAAGATCGTTCCAAAACCTTGGAAGTTTGTTGATAAAGTTTTAGAAAATAAGTTTTTGGAATAATCTTGTTGATAAAGTTTTAGAAATGCCATAGAAGAACCTTAGAGATAAAATTTACTCCTGGGCTGCATGAAGATCAGAATTTGGCCAAATGTTAGCACTAAAATTATGAGAGTCGGTCTGCCAAAGGAAAACAGGAGGTATGTTTCATCTTGCAAAAATGCTTTAATAAATTTTAAATGAACTTCAAATATTTTATTTGCCATCATTATTTTATCTTTCACAAGGATGTTATGAACCACCTTTGGCAGCTGTAAAGAAATGGGATGAGATTCCCTGCTACAGAACAGATTCTTTACACAAAAAATAGCGTATAATTCCCTAATTCCATAGTTACAGAAATATATGCCATTTGGTATTAAAAGTACTAAGGTATTGCTTCAATTAAAAACTTTCTTAATCTATCCTGTCTTCTTTAAAATAAATAAAATTTATCACAAAATAATTTAGCATGTAATAAACCAGCTTTATCAGTTAATCCAGCTTTACAGTACAATAATTTTTGAAGGTCAGCTGAAGTTTTTCAACAACAGCAAAAAAATTCACATTCACCCTTGTATTGTATATAGTGGTAACTATCAACTATTGTTCAATTCCTACTCCGCTTTCTAGCAAAATTCGGACAAAAGATAGTGCAATGGTTACAGATTAGACTGTGACTTTGAATACTGAGATTCTTTTCCTAATTCAGACATACGTTTAAACTGGATCACCAAAGGTGGTAAATGGGCATTATACATAGAAAAGCATTGTGCAGATGGATTTTTTTGTTCAGCCTCTGTTTTCTAATTGTAAAATGGCAGTAGTAATTTAATGTATAATTTACTTCATCTTTTTACTTGTATACTATAGTCAACTGTTTGCAGCGATAACAATTTGACACTGATACTTTCATAATAAAAGTAGTATCAACAGCAGTTTTCTGACAGTCAAACAAGTATTATTATATAATTGCAACTGAGGAACCACCTGCAGTATAAATGCAATTAGATTTATGATAAATTACCAAAGAGTTTTCATTCCATATTTGGGAATTATTGACTCATAAGAATCTCTAAAGGTCCTCTGAAAATCTTCTAGTCCAACCTCCACTGCTTCACAATTTAAATTAGAGCAGGTTGCCAAGGACCACATTCTGTCATGTTTTAAGTATTTCAAAGGATGGAGACTCCACAGCCTCTCTTAGCAACCTGTGCTAGCATTTGACAACCATAGCAATATTTTTTTTTTTCTCATTTTTAAATTGAATTTTCTGTATTTCTACTTACGCCTATTGCCTTTTGTCTTTCCAGAGGATACCATAGAGTATAGTCTGGTTCTTTCTTCCTCACCCCATTCAGGTATTTATATATATTGATAAGATTGCCTTTGGACCTTCTCTTCACCAGGCTAAATACTCCTAGCTCTCCTTGATGCAGACTAGGATGTTGTTGGCCTTGTCATAGAGCTCATGTTCATGTTCACAACATGCTGGCATATTCCATTTGGCATCCATTGGGACTCTCAGATCCTCTTCAGCAAAACGGCATTCCAACATGGTTCCCAGCCTGTACTGCTGCTTAGGTTTATTCAACTCAAGGTTTGTGATTTTGCATTTCCAGCTGTTAAATTTTACAAGATTCCTGTCAGACCACTTCTCCAGTCAGTTTAGATATCCCCAAATGGCAGTACAATCATCCAGTCTATCAATCATTCCTCCAATTTCTCACCTGCACACCTGCTGAGGGTGCATTCTGTCTGATCATCCAGATTATTGATGATGATGTTAGATGGTATTGTACCCAAAATTGGCCTGTAGGGTACATAACTAATGACTGGCCTCCTGCTGGACTTGTGTATGTCCAACTAGTTCACACGTTTCTCCAAGCTGATACTCCTCTAACGAAGGTAAGTCTTTCCTGCAGACTTTCCCATTTGCCAGGGGACCAGGACCCTATATCTAATCTAGTATCTTAAGCAAAATTACTAATATTCTATGCCCATAAATCTACTAAACATCTACTAAAAAGCATCTATATCATTATATATCCGGCTTGTCTGGCCACATCTATGCATGCTACAAACAAACAAACAAACAAACAAACAAAAAAGAATGAAATACAGCATAAGATATACACTCAAACATTCACATTTAATAGATACTAACATCTTACTTCAAAGACTGAAATACAATTTACATGCAATATTAGAAACTACTCTAAGATACAGAACAGTAGTAGATAATCACTTAAGCTCAATTTCTGTGAGCCTGACAGGAATCATGCGCCACTTCATAGAGAATAAGAAAGAAATTATCTTGCCTTGAAAAGAAAGGGCATTGTCGCCTTTCTTTCCATTTTCAATTATCAGAAAAGAAACATTTTTGGCAAGAAACATATGGTCATTGAGTTTGTCTCTTTCTTCTGTTGCTTCACAATTCCTTCACAAATGCCTTCAGCCTCAAGATCAAACACTAAAACTACCACTACTCAAGATCAAACATTAACCTGCTACCACTGAGATGCCATATTAATTTTCAAAAGAAACACATTTTTTGGTTTACACAGAGAAAAGATAATTGAATGTTGAGCTCTTTAGAGCAAATTCCCTGAAGCCAGGTTTCAAAGGTATCTATAATGTTTTGAGGAAGTGCTATTAAAGTGAGAATTTAGTTTGTTTGTTTCTCCTACTCTCTCACAGAATCCTATTTCCCGATCATGTTCCTATAATATAACAGTCACTGAAAAAAAAAGATTGGCCTTTCATCCATCAGCAGCATAATATTTTCTTGTTACAACGCCTACTGTACCTCCACTGTATTTCAACAGCCTGTTGGTGTCTCAAAACTTTAAATAAATTTTTTGACCCTTTAATTTCTAATTCTGATTTAGCTCTGCTTTCTGGTAGTTTGACAAGATGTGCCATTACCTTCTATTTCCTGCTTTATAAATGCTATGTCTCAGTCTGATGAGATCATCTTTCCACCATTTCTACAGCAAAGACTGAGTAAAGAAATGATTGAGTAAGGAAAAATGGTCTCATCCATCTCCATTTTTTATTTAAATGAAACCAGATACCTTATTTTCACAGTCCTGCTCATCCCTCACAAAAATAACAAGGTCCAATTATTTAATGTTACACATTTTCACAGACAAGTTAGAGAAAATAATCTTATATATACATAACCTCTCTCTATATAATCTATATAAAATTATATAAATTTATATAATATCTATAAATCTACATAAATTTATATAGATTATATATAGAGAGGCTATATGTATATATATAATCTAATATATAATTGGACCCTGAT